ATTAAAAATTAATATGGCGTAAAGTTCAAGTGCCTGCCATCACATTTACAGATTTCCGCAACAATTACTATTGGCATCTGTACCACACCACACCACACCACATTACGCCACACGCCACACCACACTACACCACACCACACCACACTACACCACACCACAGCACCAACCTATTAACAGCCAAAAGTACGGTACACCATATGACACAGGCCTGAACTGTGGTACCAATTGGATTCAAAATAACTGTAGCATACTTATAGTAGTACAAATAGACGGATCTATCTATGATTCTGAAGAGTAGAGCTACAACTAAATAGCAAAACGTCCCCATAAATATAGCTATATTGTCGAATATAGCTAAGCTTTTTAGTAGGAAGATAGCTACTTGGTTGTTTCGATCCTTGTTCAGTACAACGATCGATAAGGTGTTTGTGACTAGGCCGAATGTGGCTATCAAACATAGGAGGATGCTGTGTGTGTGTGTGTGAGTTTGTGTGTAGGTAGGTGTGTGAGTTTGTGTGTAGGTGTGTGTGAATTTGTTTGCCAGTGTGTGTGTGAATTTGTGTGTGTATGTGTGTAAACTTGTTAACTTAACAAAAACAACTGAAATACAACTGAAACAAATGGCATAAACAGATAGAAAAAAGACAGAGAAATACATTTTTGCTATTATAAAACAACATCAGCACCAACAACATCAGAGCCGCCACAACAGCCACAACGGCCACAACAACCACTACTACAACAACAACCGACTGGTGAAAATTGATAAAATGTAAGCAGGATTGTCTTCGAGCCATTTCTGCCATTTCTTCTTCGGCAGACGGATCAAGTTCGGCACCAGTAACGGCAAAATGGCTTGTAGTGAGATTGAAAAAGTTATTTCCAAACCCAAATGCCGTGGATTCAATAGCGACTGCCGTCAGTGTAGTAGCGATATTTGCTGCTAATGATGTCGTTGTTGATGTGTTATATGTTGGTGTTGTTGCCGTTGCTAAATGTGGGAATGAGTTGTTGAATGTTTTTGCAAGAACATTGGC